GGCTACATTTTGGTTGGTACATCATACTGCTTCAACAATTCTTCTTTATCTTTTAGACTTAAAATGTGTATGGATATTTTGAGGATTTGTGAACTGAACTAGCTGTGGGAGCAAAATAGAGAAAATTTACATACAGATTTTTCTCCCTCGCGTCTTTTTTTAATGTTCCCGTATCTCTCAACTTGTCTGAGTCAGTTCTGACAAACCTCTTGTAGTCTCCCCCCCCATGTTTAGTCCATATCAGAAACTTCTAACATTTGCAGCTCCACGTGTAAAAGTGTGTTGACCTTGAATGAAATAATTGACCTTGAGTCACAGACATGAAGGATGGCTATTCCAGATGAGAAAATTCTAGCATTTGCACCGCCACGTGGGAAAGTGAATCGGCTTTGAACAAAATCACTAAGTGAAACACAAACTTGGGGCCTTTACAGTTTTAAAAGTGATTTGATTTTTATAAGCAATAGAGTTCATTTTATTAAGTGGTTATTTTATAATGCTATACTTTTCATTTGAAATTGTTCCTTGGGTTTCGATTTTAATAAACGGCTGATTTTATAAAGCAATGATTTTATTAAGCGGCACCCACTATCCGCGATTCCAGCGCTCTGATACGCCATCTAGTGGCTAAAAGGTGGAAACATTAAAGCTCGGTATTTACGTTTGACAATGCTACCTAGTTTGTGAAGCGTGTTGTGATCGAAAAGTAATTAAACGTTATATTTTTTATTGTTGTGGGCATATGTATAACTTAAAAAGAAGTACAGACCGCATGTTTTGTTGTGTACATCAGTGTAAATCACGAGCTTGCAAGGAACCTGAGTTATGCTTCTCATCGCATTCTTGGTTCGAAAAATATCGAACGAGATAGCAAAACGAAGAAAGGAGTGGATTCGCGTATTTCGAATTGGAAAGAAAGTTGGGACATTATATGAAACGTGCGTTTCTAAGCATTTAAAAAAAAAAAAAAACTGATTACATTTTTTCTCGTAAGAAAAATTTTCTTTATATATGCAAAATTTCTTTCTCGTATATCATACATATAATATATAAATGTGTATGTGTATTCTTCGAAAGTAAACATGCTTATTTGTGTATTGAAGTATAAATCATTATAGCTCATTAATCTCTTAAATATTATATACCATATACAATTATGCTTTCATGCATAGTTTTACCTGCAGAAATTTAAATTGTGTTTCAGTTTATGTTAGCAATGATTTAAATGAAAATTTATAGAATGACACATATAAAAGTAAAAGTTAATTATTTTAACGTTAATGATGAACTTTGAATTTCATATTCTAGTAATGTTGAAATTTCTGTGTGTGAGTCATTTCCTTTTAAACTATTTAGAACTGTTTTACAGTGGTTCAGGATAGTTAGCATAAAAAATTTCCAGTTCAGAAAATAGGTATGATGATCTAGTATGAGTAATAGTATAAAAAGTATTACAGATATCAAATCTTTTCCACTATAGAATAGCATGCACCAAACAATTTCTTATAAAATGGTATACATACCATTGTTACTCGCTGAGCACAGTTAAATGTTTTTTCTTATCTTTTATAGCAGTGTTCGTTTTGAAGTAAGTATTAGTAATAAAAAGTTTTTAAAGTAGCTTAAAAAATTTATCCATGGTGAAAATTAGCTAATGATGAAAGTATTTTTTCTCACTTGAAGTATCAAACGGGCACATGTATCTTTTTCGAGAAAATCTGTTGTTCTGTAATGTAAAACACCCAAGTATTTGTTCAGTGATAAATATTGATAGGGGAGAGACTTTTAAGTAATTTCATTTCTCAGCCATTATTCAAAATATGATTGCATATAACTAAATAACTTTGGAGTAAATTAAACAGCGTACACAGACATGTGTATACAGATATACAGGTTAGCAAATAAAAGCAAGGACAGTGGATTTGGATCAGTTCAGTAATTTATTAGATTGTTTTATTTATAACAAGCTTTTATTTAGTAGAATAAGAATGTGTAGAACATTTAGTAGAATAAGAATAATACATGAATACACAGCCTTTTAGTTGCAAGAAATAAGATTTTGCATAGTTATTTAAAGATGCAACCATATTTATTATCTCAAACATATTCTATCTTAATTGTATTTCTGGGGCAAATATGCATTAATTCTCTTACCTCTTGTCATTATAAAAATTTGATTTTATTGCGTTGCTTATATGTTCGTAACTAGAATTGGTGTCGATTTTATGCAGTGTTGATACCTGTAACTATAAGCCTCATCGAAAATATATGCATATTGGATGCCTCATCAATGCTAAGAAGATTTAGCGATTTTTTTTTTTTTTTTACTGGCACAATCTCAAAATTTTCATTGCCAGTATGTAATTGTTTGCATACACCACTTTTACTAAGAAAATTATAGTACATATAAAAAATGCTAAAGATAATAAAACCTTTGGTGACACCAGATATACATATTGATTTGATATTATCTGATAAACATTGTAAATGAATGAATAAATTTGTCATTAAAATATTTCGGAGGAGTAAAAATACATTAAATCATTAAATGAAGAGGCTAGATGAAATGTCCAGCTTCTACATTTAGTGCGACAGTAAAAAGTCTGAAAATAATATTAATTCTTTGGTAAAAATATCTTTATTTATACAAAAGTTGCAAATCAATCTTAAGTTATTTTTTAGAATGATATATAAAAATCTGCATGTGTATCGTGTATGCAGTGTCTTCTGGATGCATATTCGTGCAAAACTGATGAACACTGGTAGTTCGGTCCAACTTTCGATCCCGGCGAACGGGCTGACTCCATGGGTGTTTTCTTGATTTTACACATGTGTATCGTTTAAGCACTATCTTCTGTATGCATACGTGAATAAAGCGCTAACTCTGGTAGTTTGGTCCATTTTCGAATCCCAGCAAGCGGGCTGACTGCATAGGTGTTCTCGTGATTTTCCGCATGTGTAACATGTTGGCAGTATCTTGTGAATGCATAACGTCAATAAAGCGGGTGCAGCCCGGGTAAAATCGCTGAATACTGGTAGTTCGGTCCAACTATGTGAATACAGTGAAATCAAGTAGAACCTAACGTGGTAATTTCGAAAGCGAAAGCAGCGCTCCACGAAAGCATCCCTTCCCTCATGTAGCGGCTTGCCCGCTAGTGATATATAAAAACTGTCCCTCTCTAGCTACATCCCTGAAAGTAAGCATTCATTCAAATATTAACAAATAGATTTGATCATATTTTATGCATCATGCAGACTATATTTCCAGCTCTTTCATTTAAGTGCAATTTATTTCCAATGTATGAACATGAATACTGTACAAGCTTAGTCACTTATTTGTAATTTAATTCAGTTTTTATATAAAAGTTAAAATTTACCAGGCAATTGCTTAAAAAAATAGTTTAATAGATGTTGCTGTAATTTAACACTTTTGATTTTAATGTTTTCAGAAATTTGCTAAATCAAGTTTATCTTCGTGTGACCTTGCATCAAAGGCACCGATAATAAATTTGTTTTGGCATTTAGTGCTAAAATTTTTAAAGAAAAACTTATTATTGATGTAAAAGAAGGAACAAATTATATTTATCTTGGTAATATGTCTTATGATATGCTTATTTACGGTGTCATGATATTGCAGTAACTTAACAGGGCATTTCATATAACTTGTTTCTTAAGTTGCATAACCTGTTTTCATAACATTTTGTTATCAAATATATATAAAAGGTAAATTTCTAATGAAATATTCTTCATTTCACAGCAGTGTTATTTACCGTGATATAACGTGTGTTCACATTTATTATATACGGTTATGATCATTATTCATTATAGAGCTTTATATTTGTTATATACATTTAATTTATATCATTATGTTTTACATGATTTTGCTTTTAGAATATATCACAATATATATTTCGAGTTGCTAATAGAACTACAGTGGTTCCCCAAAGTGTTATATAAAATATTTTTTAAATGTAGTGAAACTTTATTTTTAAGAAATTAATAATCAAAAATTGACAAACGTTTTATCTCAAAAAAATGAAGATCTTCATTCTAAGAACTTAATTGGAGGCTATATGCCTTAAGGGAGGGATGCCTTTGTGGAGGACTTTATAAGGGAAACTGGCTCGTATACAAGTTACGCATGGGGAAGACCAAGGAAACACCCATGCAGCCAGCCTGTTCGCAGGATTCGAACCTCGGACCGAACTACCAGTGTTCAGCGGCGTTACCGCTCGGCCGCTGGTGGTCTTCACGGGCGGTAATTATGTGAATTAGGATGCTATCATACCACTCACCCAATGGCAAAAATATAGAAAAGGCAAAGTCAAAGGTTAAATTCATTAATTCTAATCAGTATGCACTAGCAAAGTAAAGCACTGTGGTTTTACATAATTTCTGATTAAGCTATTGAAATCGTACAAACTGAAATAATTCTTGCATTTAAACTTGTATTCCAAATTAAGATTTAACTTGAAATTAATGTAGATAATTACTGAGAGAATTGAATTTTTGTAGTGTACTTTACGTGAAATGAGATCACTTGGGGTCATGTGATGTGAACCGGCGAATCAGGATGTTTTACCATGAAAGCATAGTAAATTCTTAAATTAATGTCTTTTTGAAAATTTATTGGCTTTTTTACAAAATTTTAAATGACATTTAAATGTTTATACCTTTAAAATAAAAAATTCTTAGAACTAATATTTGTCTATATTTTTATGTGTATACTGTGTGTTGTCGCTAATAAAGTCTGCTTGGCGAGATTTGCGCTGGCGAAACGGAAAAGTACCAAAATTTGCATTCTATGAAATTGTACTTTTTAAATGATAAAATTTTAAAATCTACAATCTGAATATTAGAATATGGTTGGAAAATTACCATAAAATTTCTTGTTTCTACCAAAACGCTTTTAATATTCTGCGATGGAATGGGATAGTTCTTATGAAAATTATATTATGGTACTGGAAATGGCTTCTTGTTTGCTTAAGAAAATTATAACCAGATAGTGAAGCTCTTACAAAAAATTTTATCTGATTAATATAATTTATGCCTTTTTTATAATGAAATGGCTGTTGTATATAATGATTGTAGTTGTTTAAGAGGTATGTTATATTTTCCCATGAAACCATTATGGCATACTAAAATTCATTTGATAAGTTTAATTTATTTTTGGCTGTTGGGTATTATATTTCTATGCAAATACATTATGGTATACTGATGATTATCGTCAAACTCCTAATATTTTTACTCTACTTTCGACCATTTTTGGCTAACAAAAAACTGATAACAATGTACATTAGCCCCAATAATGGATAAGCATGATATCAAAACGTACTCATAAATTCTCGGTGGTTTCATATAACACTGAGAAATCCTTAATAAACCACTTTTATCTGTTGATTATCTAACCAAATAAATAGCATCTGTTCCTCCCAAATTTCCACAAATAATTTTTCAAGGTTTTTTTATATGCTATATCTCTATAGTTTCTGTTGATCATGTAACTTAAAAAGAAATATCTGTTACAATAATTTTTGAAAGGACTAATATTTCCATCAATCTTCTTGACTGACAAGAAAATATGTAGATAATGTGTGGAGTTATTATAGCATAGGGAAAAACATGACACCAATTTTACAACAAATCTGGGCTAATCTTTGGAATATGGTAACAGGTAGTTTTGCGACATTTTGGTAAGGCGATAAAGGTTACTAGCTAGGACTTTAGCAGTGTACATGGATACAGTCAAGAGTGTGCGCAATGCCATTTTTGTGCAATTCTAGGATGTTTTTTTAAGTGAAAATAGGTCGACGTGTACATGGATGATACCGTGTATGTGCAATTCGTAAAAACGCGGCAAGCAGTGGGCGATTCTGCCCTTTGTCCCAATTTCGCACCTAATCTTCGTCATGATTAAGCACTTTTATTCCATAAAAGTTCTAGCATAAGCGTAATTCGGCTAGCAGATTGTTGGAAAAAAATGTTGGAAATGTTGAGTAAAAAAAAACATGCCTTTACTTCTTGAAAAACAAATGGCGTCCGAAACAAAAACTAGCAGGTTGCTGTAGCAGGGTTGGTCGCCAAATTTTAGCCAAAAAATCGCCAAGTTACCATAATCCAAAGATTAACCCAAATCTGAAATTTTGTTTTGTGAGTCTTTGGTTAAACTAAATGCTATAATTTATTTAGGATGAAATAATTCTTTGGCATAATGTAATTCATATCATCTATGTTGCTACAATTCTGTTTCAATACAAGACCATCATATCAGTGTAAGATTTCCTATGTGGAGACTTGGTTTCTAATCTTTGTGTAATATAATACGGAGAAGCTCGTACTGTGAATTTTGATAAGTATAATTTATTCTTCTATTAGATTGGAATGGACTCGGTGTTTTCATATAGAATGTTTCATATTCAAAGTGTTAGTTCGGTGTTTCATATTCAAAGATGTTGAAGTTCATACAATGTAATTAATTAATAGACTTATCACACAGACTTTTTTAATAGACTTATTCTTGAATTTTTGGCTCAGATATAAAGTTATTAATTAAAAACAGCATTAGAAAAGCAAAACTGATTAAAAGAACACTTCCTTTATTTTTAAAATTGATATATTTAAATGCTTTTGTTCATATAAAAACAACAATAAACACATTTCTAAATAATAAGATTATTAAGAAAATTTGGAACATTTATAAAGGTTTGCAAGGACAACATGATCGATTTTGTTATAAATCACATGGTTTTGACATGTTTTGAGTATGCTCCTGCCAGATTGGTAGAAGCCTGGTGATCCTGTTATGAACAAATCTTAACAGATAAAGATATAACATGTGAATATAGAATCTAAAGAAAAGGTAAGGTTAGATTAGGCTATTTGAATATGGCTAAGCACATTGGTTATCAGCCTGAAGAACTTTATAGGGAAAACTGGTTCGTATTCACAAAACACATGCAAAAAAATAAAAACTGCACAGCCAGCTTGTTCACCAGGATTTGAGCTGAGATTAAACTACCAGTATTGAGTTGTTTAAACCACTTGTAGGACAAAACTAAAGAAAATGCTTGTAATATCATGTAATCAAAAGTTAACTGCATGTTATATGCCACAATTGCTTTCTCAAGTACTGAGGTAGGTTATACTTAATCTGCTTTTTTTTTTTTCTTTTGAAATGTTTGGTCATGGTATTATTCATTGCATGTATTTTCTATAATACATACAGAATATTAATAGTTCTATAACAAGTGTCTTTTTTTCATTTTTAAGTGCTTTGCTTGTTGATATTCTCAAAATTGCATTTGATGATTAGTGCTATCATGTGTATAATAAATACAATAGATGCATATAATAGATCAATATATTTTTAGTATACATATAATGATTCAATATCATTTTTATGGGGAAAAAAAAGACACTTTTGACTGCACAGATTTTCTAGAAATCCCAAGTAAAACACATATGAAATCATTTGTTTACAATCAGTGAACGTTAAAATCAGCTACCTGTCACAATACAATAAAACAGCGACACAATTTCCTACAACAGCCAGCAGTTCCTCCTTTACATGAACAAGAATTTTTTTTTTTTAAAATTTTTATTTGTCCTTTTTGAACAATGAAATGTCCTTCGATTTCATGCGATCAGGACGCTATAGAACTTATCCTTAAATAGAAAGCCAAAACTTGTACATTGGATTTCAAGTAAAATTCCGTGCATTACCAAATGATCAGCTTTTTAAAATGCTCTCTGCTTCAGTAATACAGCGAGAATTTACGCCTCCTTGAACAAAATCAAACATTTCGGAAGAGCTAAGTAACTCCATTTTTGAATGTACGAAGTCAGATCACAAATCAAAATACCGAGTTTTATCCGCCATACTAATGTGTGAAAGCGCCATCTATAGGTGAATTGAATCGCGGATATTTTACAACTGTTTTATTAATTAACTAAGGCAAGTGGTGTATTTAAACTTTTCCGGTAGCAGAATTAATCCTTATAACAATGCCTTTTGTGATAAAGACTATTTTACCAAAAGGATGTGATTTTGCAAGCTGTGCAAATGATTGAGACTGGATAGCTTAATTATTATTGTTATTTTAAAAACATTTTTCATGTCTAAAAGTTAAGCTGCTATAACGTCTTACCTAGTTCTTCAAAAGCTGTCAAATTTACTTTTTCCTTGCCATTTGGATAATAACGAGCCATTAGGATTTCTCAAACCAGCAACACACACACACACACACACACCAAAAAAAAAAAAAAAAAAAAAAAAAAAACCCGCCGATTTTGGGGGAGCGGAACTACATCTTGACACTCGAGAATAAAATACGATCTGTGTGTGTGTGAAAAGCCAGATTCAGTTTAATCAAATAATTTTAATATTTTGAGGAAAATTTGTTGTTTCATTAGCAGTTGATTTAACGAAAACTATAACTTTTTGTAAATTCATAACATGATTTTGCTATATTCAGTATTAGTGTATTTATTAAGAAAATTACTCCAGTCAAAAGTGTGGGTTATATCGGTGTTCAAGAACGAACGTAATTGATTTTCCGATAGTAGTAGGTGTAGTGTTAATGTTTCAAAGAAACATCTTTGGAAAAGACTACTGATAGTTGAGTTCTTTCAATACCAGTTGGTTCTTTTTTTTTATTCCAAAGTGGAGTTGAAGCGCTACCTTGTGATAAATGTCTTACTTACGTTCAGACATTGTTCTACTCAACTCTGCATATGTAAAAGCGTGCGATTCTCAATCTTGGTGCACGTTTCGTTCGATTCAAGTCCTGTGCAGGTAAATTCTTCTTTTTCATTGAGGTGAATGCGAAATAATGATATTTTTAATTAAGGGAATGTGATTAATTTTGTCTGAGTAATATTGCTTTGTAATATGCATGTATTTTTTCAAGATGATTGTGGATTCGATAATATGCTTGTAAAGTTTTGTTACGAACGTTTCTAATTTTGTTTAATATTGAGAGTTTTAAGTTATACTTGCTTAAATATTGTAATATGTAAAATTTTAAGCTGATCCTAATTGGAAAAGGAAAAAAAAGAGTTGTATGAACTTCACAGTTGATGCATGTGATGAAAATTTGTTTATATGAGTACGTGATTAAAATATGAACTCTCTCTTCCTGATGCACATTGTGATGTTTGTTGAGCATTTCTGTATTTAATATGATATATAAAACCTTAGTTCTGCTCAAATGTTTTCATCCGTTATTCTAATTAGCATATTTTCAGCTCTGTGTAAAGTTAGTGTGTGCTATATGGTGGAAAATTCAGTATAGTTATATTTTTTGATGGGATATTTTATTTTTAAGATATAAAAATCCTAGATTAGTTGTAAGTTCTTTGCTGCCTATGAAGATTATTTCAACTTTCCTCTTTCCATTGAACATTTATTTGTCTCATGTATGTGTATGAACATAAATGTTTTATATTTAGGTATGTCTCAAGTAAAAACTTTGCCACAGAGCAAGGAAGCACTTCTAAAGTCATACAACAAAAGATTAAAGGATGACATTAAATCAATGGTAGATAATTTCACTGAAATCGTTAAACTTGCTCGACCTACTCATGAAGATGACAAAGGCAATGTTATTCGCCCTCTTGCAACTTCTCAAGATCAGTGTGAAATGCATGTTAGAGCAGCAAACATAGTATGTTAACTTTCTGTTGTTTTTTAATCATTCGTTTAAAAAATTATATTAACATATTGATATGTTTTTTTGTTTTGTGTTACAAAGTGATTTTTTTGGTAGCTATGCATGTGTTTATGATTTATGATTGTGATTTTATTATGTGTTTGTAAAGTTTTGTTACAAACTTTTCTAATTTTGAATAAAAGTTAGTAGATAAAAATGATTTTGAGACTTATTAGGTTATACTTGCTTAAGTATTGTGATATGTGAAATTTTAAGCTTATCCTAAGTGGAGAAGGAAATAATATTTGTATAAACTTTGCAGTTGGTGCGTATGATGAAAATTTGTATATATGAGTACATGATTAAAAAATGCTCTCTTCCTGATGCACAATGTTAAGCTTCCCAAGTACTTTTATGTTTAATGTTCCAATATGGTGTATAAATTGAATCATAATATATTTATTTGTTTTATTGTTGTCTCCATTTTCTTGCAATTTTTCAGTGCAGCTGATAGTATTTACTTTGTTTTTGCATTCTAACATATTTTTTGTATTTGGTCAAAAGTGTGTTAAGGTACAAAAAAATCTTGGGTAAACCCGAAACAAATTAAAACAATGCTTTGACTAAATTATTTTAAGCATTTTAGAAAGTAGACATCCCCCAAAATGTCGCAAAAATAGGTAAAACAGTTAAATTTATTGAATGCAAATTTGATAAATTTTTTAGATCTTTAAATTCATATTTATAGCAAGTTGACAAATAATATTAACATGCTAACATCAAGTGAAAATTCTGTTTAAAGAACAAAACATCCTTTTAAAGAAATTTTTCCTTAATTATTTGCACATTGTGTGTATGGTTGTTTTCTTTAACACACAAACTCGGCATTGTGCACTGGCCATTATCACAATTGTTCAGAAATAGTAAACTTCAGTATGAACTCCAGCAAAACACTTAACATAATGATAGTAATTCTGTCTTCACTGTTTAAAGGTTGAATGAAATCATTGGAAACCTGTACGTTTACTTCCTAAATGACAAAATAGCACTTTTGTGTTAAAAGAAGCAGTTTGAAGCATTATCAGCTGTTAAGATGTGCATCTGTCTTGTCTTACTGAAAAATTTTCATTGCGTTTCATAGTTCTTCAAATTGTTTGTAAACTTATTTATGAAGTGATTGTCATAATGATGATAAGTATTCTGCCAAATGATTTAGTAATGATATTAAATCATGCCCGTACTTACTGAATGATATGTTAATATTTTTATGAAATGTATTTCGTTTGATCATGTAGGCAATTTTGTTGTTTTAATGCTTTTTATATCAAGACTGGTCCTAATGCTAAAATTTTTCTGCCATGTGATTTTTCAGTGAAATCGTTTCAAGCCTGTATATTTACTTGCTGAATGACAAGGTAGCATTTACTTTAATTTTAAGGTATATGCATTATCATTTGGTTTTGACAGGTACATTTACATGCAAGTTAATAAGTTTTATTTTCTTCTGTCACAAGTGTTGGTGGGCTTTTATGTGGTGGTTATTGTTATAATAAGCATTTTGCTATATTGTGTTAGTAATGAATTGCCATACTGAATGACATGCTAGTTTTTTTAATAGAATAAACTAGCAACTTGATGTTTGTATATACACTGCTGCCCATTAAGATTGCAATACCGTGAAGAAAAGCAAAAAAAAAAAAAAGTATATTTACTCTGCATATATGTTATAGCGTGAAGACAAAATGTTCAAATTTGTAAGCAGTCTGGGAGTGTACGGAGATGCGAAATTATCAGAAACATCTGGCGCCTAAAACTGCCCTTACCTGGTTAGGCATTAAGTTGAACTGGGGCCTGAATGACAGAGCAACTCCTTCCATGCTGCTTTATTGTCTATATTAGTTGGAGAGGAGCGGCAGGCCTGTCTGTCAGCAACCGAATTACCAGATGTGTTCAATAGGTGACATATCTGGAGACTGCAGGCCAGTACAGCAATCATTAAGCCCTGTGTATCAAGGAAGGTCAAAACACGACGTGCAACATGTAGACGTGCATTATTTTATTTTTGGTAGATGGCATTTGGCAGGCTTCAAAGATGGGGCACCACCACTAGATGTAAGGTGTTAGAAATGTACCGATCCACGTTCAAATCACTGTCGATCCGAACTAGAGATGTATGTGTTGTGTGCCTAAGGGCTGCCCAAACCATCCACCTGGTGCACGGTCCCTATGCCGATACTGAATGCAAGCAGGCGACATGCAGTCTTTTTGGAGCCTCTAGGCACTTATACAGCCATCAGAATATTGCACACAGAACTGGGATTTGTCTCAAAAGACGACATTGTGCTACTCCTGTATCGAGCTTTGTCGTTTGCTGCGTTGTCAAGGGAAGGCAAAGTAGTAATCGCTGTGCTGATAGTTCATGTTGCTGCTAACATTGACACACCCTACAAGTGGATACTGAGCATGCTGCAAACATGCCTATTTCCTGACTAATGGTTCATGATGTAGTTGTGCAATTTTGCAGGGCTGACCTCGTAATATATCTCTCCTCTTGGGGATATGCCCGAGAGGAGAGATATATTACGAGTCTAGACTCGTAATATATCTTCTAAAGTCATGAGAAGGTGTTGAGATCCTGCATACTGTTCCATATGACCTCAGTAAGCCATTGATTCCATATTTGCATGTCGACCAGTGGAACAGGCGATATCATGGAACAATAATCCACTCTCTCGATAAGCGACAATCTTGCTTGCATCAAATTCCGACACTTGTCAAGGCATAACACAATATTCTGGAAAAACTTTGACTTTACAAAATGCTTTGTGGTGAAAAATCCACTACACAAGGTTTCTTTTATGCTTCAGATGTCGTTTCTCCCTCCTGCATTGTGTAAATGTGCTACAGTACTGATCATTTGCATATCCCAACCTCTTCTTCCTTTCACGTGATTTTGACGTTCATCAGATCATATCTTTCTAGTGCTGTAGTTTTAATGGCCAGCAGTGTATTTAGAATAAAACTGTTGATTTCAAAGACATTTGAACACGGTTGGCTCTTGTTCAGGAGCTGAAAAAAAAAATCTGGTATTCCTGTGAAGCATATATTTGTTGATCATGTTCACATTTTTAGTTTTTGCAGTTTTTAACTTTTAAATTTTTCTGTCCTGATTTATATCAGCGAGATCTTTTCATGCCCGTATACCTGAATGATAAGGTAGCATTCTTGTCTTAAGCTGAGATTGAAGTATGCTGTATATGCTGAATGAAAAGCTATTATTTTTTTGTTCTTGTGCTTTACTTACATAATAAATAGTCATAAATGATGAATTTTTTCTGCCATATGATTTTTTAATGAAATCATTTTAAGCTCGCTATGCGCTTGTTGAATGACTACGTAACATTTTGAAACTATGCTTTTAAGGTATGTTTTTTTTAAATGTGCATTTACATCTTTCCTCATGAAACTTTTGAATTTTTCCTAACCATATTATTCGTAGGTTTTGTTTCTCGTGGTTACTGCTATAATAAGCATTCTGTGATATGATTTAACTGTGCAGAATGACATTCTAATATTTTTTTAATTGGGTAAAGCAGCAATACAATTGTGCTGTAGATTTTGAAATGTATCAGTTTTGTGGGCATTCAGTCTTGGGCCCCTCTTATTCAGGAGTAAAGACAATTCTAGTATTACTGTGAAGAATACTTGGCAGATCGTGTTACTAGCATAACAGCAGCAAAAACATTTACAATGGCCCGTATACAGTACAAAGTCCGTAATCTGCACGTCCATTATCCGGAATGATCTATAATCCGGACCTCAAAGCCACAAACATATGCATGCGCGTAAAGCATTTACCCTCGCGCTTCCGATAGTGAAGAAAGTGACAGAGAGGTTATTGAAAACGAAAAAATTTCGATTGACAAGTTAGTCGGTATTCTCGATACAAGCAATTACAAGACTTGAACAGAGGAACTTTGTAACTGAACAAGAAATTATGTCTGTTTATAGAATTGAAGAGAAAGTATTAGCATAAAAAACGAAGCAACTTGCATTGATAGAAATGTTTAATAAAGAAAATAAATATTAAGCTGTTTTTGTAAATTTTGATATCCTTTAAATCATAATTGCTCTTTATTTTATAAATTATGGTTTCATATTTTAATTATATGATTTCTGCATGCCATCTTCCCAGATTTAAATTGATCTACAATCTGGAATCGACGAGTCCTTATTATGGACTTTGTACTGTATTTACTTAATGACAAAATGGCATTTTTGTGTTAAAAAAGCACAACTCGCAGCATTATCAGGTGTTTAGATATGTGTTTGTCTTGCCATACTGAACTATATTTTCGTAGTTCTTCAAAAATAAGTACTTGTAATGTTTATGTGGTGATTGTCATGATGATGATAAGTATTCTGCCAAATGATTTAATAGTGATATTAAATTATGCCCGTACTTACTGAATGACATGCTAATATTCAGGGCTGTGGAGACTGTAAGACTCCTGGAATTTCAGACTCAGACTCTCTCATACACAGTCAAAAGTCGTTAATCCGGACTCGTCGGGACTTCGATTACGGATTATAGATCATCAGTTTAAATCTGGTAAGATGGCATGCAGAAATTACAAAATAAAAAATATAAAACCGTAATTTATGAAATAAAGAACAATTATGATCTAAAGGGTATCAAAATTTTCAAAAAAAAAGCTCATTATTTATTTGTATTTTATGAAACATTTCTTTCAATGTAAGTTGTTTAAGTTGCTTCTTTTTATGTGATAATACTTTCTCTTTAATTCTATAAACAGACATAATTTCTTCTTCAGTTACAAAGTTCCGCTGTTCAAGTCCTATAATTGCTGTGTCGAGAATATCGACTAATTTGTCAATCAAAATTTTTTCGTTTTCAATAACCTGTGTTACTTTCTTCACTATCGGAAGCGAATTATAATGATGAGGAATATGATTTAAATCATATCAAAGAGGGAGTACATCGAGATGGAATA